GGAGTGGCCCGAGTTGGTGGCGAGGTGGCGTAAATCTAAGAAGAGGAGGCATGCAAATGATGTGCTGCTGGCTGGAGTGGAGAGGGAGAGCAAGCACACGAAAAAAAAGGTCGGAAGCAGCAGCAGAGTCAGCAGCAGTAGTAGCACCAGCTGCTGTGGCAGCGGCAGATGCAGCAGCACGAGAAGCAGCAGCAGTTGCAGAAGCAGCCAGACTAAATGCAGAGTTCCCCTGGCTCAGTCGCAAGGGAAAAGAGAAGTACCCGATTCCAGTGCCATCTGATAGCCTAGACAGCTGTAGTGATGATGACAGTGGCAGCGAGTCTGACTGAACTGTAGAAGTGAGAAGTGCGAAGTAGTTTTCATGTTGTAGTTTGTAGAAATATTGTAGTGTAGTGTAGACCATAAAGAATAGTTCATCTGTTTTTCCAAACTGGTGTGCTGCCATGCACTCCGCTATGTTGTGCGCCACCCCCCCTGCGAGGAGGAACAGGGGAAGGGCACGGCGGGCAGAGAGAAAGGAAGGAGGAGGGGGAGAGTGGGAGAGGGAGAGAGGTTGAGACATGCCGCAGTGGACGACACTCCACCCTCGAATTCCTTTCTCCTGCCCTCCTCCCTGCCTCATGTGGGAGGAAGAAAACGGGTGGGGGAAAGGGAGGAAGGGGACAACCATGAGGGATAGGGGTTGGAAAGGGGCGGGGGCGGGTGGAGGTTTGGCGAGAAGGGGAATAGGAACCAGATCATAGGGCGCAGGGCATAGGGCGCAGAGCATGGGGCGCAGTGCATAGGGCGCAGAGAATAGGGCGCAGATCGCAGGGCGCATAGCGCAGGGGGCGGAGGGTGCAGAGTGCAGAGTGCAGGGGCGCGGAGCACGTGTACCTGTCCTGGCGTGGTGGTGCCTCGTTCCAGCGCCCTCTCCACGCTGCTTGTCGACCAGAATAGTGCGCGAACTGGACGTTTGCGAGTTGACGCGCTACTAGACAACCAGTGGCGTGAGCTGTGCGTAAACCGGTGAGGGGGATGGTCGTCTCTGTATTTCGCGCCCTGCTACCCGCCTGTGGGCGCCCGGTGGCTGACAGAGTAAAATTGCGTAACCCTAAGGGTCTGCGTATTGTGGACGCCCCCAGCGTGGCATTGCCCTAAGTAATAGGCACTTTCGAGCCCAATATACGTTCGCAATGCCCCGAAATTGTCGACCTACGTGCTGCCAGAGGCAATCGATTCTTATAATCTTAGGCATGAAGTTGTGTGTCATTAGGTCAAACTGGAACCGCTCGCGGAGCTGGAGACGAGCAGCGCGGATCCAAGGGATCAAAACATCAGGGACCTCACCATTGGTGCGCAAGGGGAAGACCGTGGTGTAACGCGTGTAGTCGTCGACGAACAGCAGGAAGTACCGCTCGTGGCCCTGTCCACGGACGCGGGCTGGGCCCCACACGTCCAGGTGGAGAGTCTGCAGGGGAGCCTCTATGGAGAGAACGAGGAGGAGTGAGGAGCGGCGCGCTGCCGCCCCTCGACACAGGGAAGACAGGGAGGAGCAGGCGATGGTGGGAGGGGAGGGAGAACCCTGGGAAGACCAGAGACAAGGACACGGCAGTGCATGCTGCGAAGGCGCTGTACCGAGGGGTGACCAAGGCGGTGGTGCCAAAGGAGGGTCTGGTGCGACAAGGCGCGACACGAGCAGGGGGCCGACAACTGACCTGACGCAGACGGAGACGCAGCTACCTGAGGGGACTCAGTAGTCAGTGTGTACAGGCCCGACCCCGGCTGCCGAGTGAAGGTAGCCAGGTGACGACCCGTCTGAGCACACGTGCAGTGTGTCACACGCTCGTAGGCAGGGGTGAACTGGTGAACACCCGCGTCCTGGAGCGCAGAACCCGCCACCAAGTTCGTAGAGAACGAGGGGAGGTAAAGACCCGACAGTGTGCCGGACGGGACAGCAGGACAAGGGAGGACAGTGGTGGAGGTCGCACGGACTGGACCCCCAGGGGGGTCTGCCAGAGAGACTGCAATCGGCCGACTGAGCGGCGTGAGGGTGGTGATGTCGCGAAAGAAGGAGCGAGAAGCACCTGGAGTCAAGTGTGAAGGTGTAAAGGCCTCAGCAGGCGCAGTACCAGAGAGAGCAGACTCACCAGCACCTGGAGCAGAAGCCTCACCAGCACCTAGGGCAGCAGCCTCACCAGCACCTAGAGCAGCAGGCTCTATACCTGGGTCAAGCGGTACGCACAGGTAACAGGCACCGTCAGCACTAGTAGGCAATGCATACATGGCAGTGAGAATAGCATCATAGTCAAGAGCAAATACATCTACCCTCTGCCTAAGCAGCTCCAGCCAGGTGGGGAGCTCAGCCTCGTCGCCAAACTCGGTACGCCAGGCGTCGCTCAGACGGGCGAAGTAGCGGGACTGTGTGTGACCAGGTGTCCCGCAAGGCTGACCAGCCCAATCACCTGTGCAAATGACGTACGGGCAGCGAACGGGACTCAAATACCCTCTACTCTGAGCGTACCACTCGTGAAGCTGCTGGGAAGTAAGTGTCTCGCGTGGACGCCGCTGCAGCTGCAGCTGGCCACTGCCAGACGCTCCCAACTGACCAGCTCCAGGGCGACAGCTACGCGGCTACCGCCACAACCCCAATTAGCATACCACTCACGAAGCTGCTGGGGCAGGAGAGACTCGCGTGGATGTCGCTGGAACTGCATCTGGCCACCGCCAGTAGCAGCAGTAAGCAGTAGCAGTAGCCTAGCAGTAGTAACAGAAGGCAGCAGCAGTAGCAGCGCGGGCAGGGCAGCCGCGGCAGGCAGGCAGGCTGGCAGGCAGGCAGGCAGGCAGACAGGCAGGCAGGCAGGCAGGCAGGCTGGCAGGCAGGCAGATGGCGCGGCAGCGCGCTAACAAGGCAAGTGCTCACCAGGCGGGAAGGGCAGGCGCTCGCCGTGCGAGCAGGGCCGGCGCTCGGCGGGCGGCTGCACGAGGACCAGGGGCGGCGGCGCGGGTCCAGGGGCGGCGTCGCGGGGTCCAGGGGCGGCTGCACGGAGTCCCAGGGGCGGCTGCGCCAGGGGCGGCTGCTGCAGGGGCCAGGGGCGGCTGCTCTGGGTCCAGGGGCGGCTGCTCGAGGGGTCCAGGGGCGGCTGCACCAGGGGCGGCTGCTTCGGGGGCCAGGGGCGGCTGCTCTGGGTCCAGGGCGGCTGCTCGAGGGTCCAGGGGCGGCTGCACCAGGGCGGCTGCTTCAGGGGCCAGGGGCGGCTGCTCTGGGTCCAGGGGCGGCTGCTCGAGGGTCCAGGGGTGGCTGCACCAGGGGCGGCTGCTTCAGGGGCCAGGGGCGGCTGCTCTGGGTCCAGGGGGCGGCTGCTCTGGGTCCAGGGGCGGCTGCTCGAGGGTCCAGGGGCGGCTGCACCAGGGGCGGCTGCTTCAGGGGCCAGGGGCGGCTGCTCTGGGTCCAGGGGCGGCTGCTCGAGGGTCCAGGGGCGGGCTACTTCAGGGGCCCGGGGCGGTTGCTCCAGGGGCGGCGTAGCTGGTGCAGGGCAGCGTGTGGGTCCCACAGGTGCCGTGATGGGCAACGGGGGGCAGCGCGCCGTCACCGGAGAAGGTGACGCGTGGGGCCGGCGGCAGGCTGCGCGGGCGGCTGACGTAGCGCGCGGGGCCGAAAACGGGCTACGCGGGCGGCGGACGAGGCGCGCAGGGCCTAAGCAAGCTGCGCGCGGGCGGCTTACGCGACGCGCGGGTCGGCGGCAGGCTGCGCGGGCGGCTGACGTGGCGCGCGGAGGCCGAAAATGGGCCTAAAACGGGCCTAAACGAAGAGCGTGCGGGCTGCTCAAGCGGCGCGCGCGGGAAAGAAAAAAAGGGGGGGCCGCGCGCGTGCAGCCGAGGCGCGCGCGGGCAGCAGGCAAGGCAGGTGAGGTAACGTGGTAACGGTGGGCCCTTATCTTAGGTCCTAGAGACCTCTAGGCTCTAGATACCATCTTATAATCTTAGGCATGAAGTTGTGTGTCATTAGGTCAAGGTTGGGTACAAGATTAGAGTGTCGAGAATGTTTCTGTACCCCCTAAGGCTAGCCCCAATATAGCCTAGATACTAATATGCATATGTTTTGACATCGATGTGCCAGAGGCCATATCGCGCTGTGTCGCGCTCTTCTCAACGCTCATTCCTGCGACTCAGCATGTACGTTTTCTGGCATGTCACCTTCGTTTGCACGTTCCCTTGTTTTTAGCTCCTGCGGTTATTTCACACGAAGTAGTTAGCTTGAATGATCGTGGTGTTCTTTCTCCTCACTCGTGCTGGTCAGGGCCTCAGAAGTCAGCGAAAAAAGGCTGATTTGGGTAAAAAAGGCTGAGATTTCAGACCTTTTTTAGAACTGTGGCTGATTATTCAGCATTTTTCTGTGAAAAAACAGGAAAAAATATGTGATTTGTAGTGTAAACTGGCATATAATGGCAGATTTTTCTGTTTTTTAGCATAAATTTTTGTACCAACTCTGATTGGTTCAGCCTAGCTCAAAACCAATCTGAGGCCCTGGTGTTGGTGCTTCCCGTTTCCGCTTTTGCTAGTAGTCGCATTGTGCGTGGACCTTCTCCACTACTTGAACCTGATTGGCTGAAGAACAATCCTTGCGACACTCCTTCCAGTCGCCCCACACTGCTTGCAAATCCGTCAAAGCTGCACAGTATCGTTCACCATCGCTTCACGTTTGGCGAGACCCTCTCCCCCTCGTCAATCAATATTTTTCTCGCTACACTGGACTTTGCCGAAATTATTGTTTTTCAAGGTTTCGCCAACACTATTTCAAACCCACATAACTTGATAAATTACCATGCTGACCCGGGCTTTAATGTTTCATCTTAGAGATCAGACTACAAAAAAAATCCTTATCTGAGCGTGAGACGGAAAAAAAAAAAAGTTATACATACTGTCAGACAGGCCAGAATCCTAGCGAGAGCCCTGGTGCCAGGTGGCCAGGCGAGAAGACACTGTAAGCAATTATTACAGTAGATGAGAACCAAGCAAGGCTAATAAGGGTGATCTGGAGGGGCGGCAGTTTCAAGAGGAGCACAGACTGTGAGGTAGTACTGTAGGTTGAGATATGGCATAAAGAGCGAGGTGGCTGGGATGGGACACTTGAGTCTGTGACGAACAGAGCGTAGCATTACCAGTTGGTCCATCTGTCCATCCATCCTCCTGCATGCACCAGGCCACAGGCACAATGAGAGCACACCACACCAGCATATCAGATTCAGGTCGCAATTTTGAAGCATCTCAAAATCTCTTTAAGAACCTGAACAGCTGAAGAAGAAACAAACAGACTTGAACAGCTGAAAAGGCAAGGGTGAGAGGTGAGAGGAGGAGAGGGGCAGGTGGATGAGAGGGGCGAAAAGGATGAGAGGGGCGAAAAGGATGAGGAGCGAGAATACAGACCTGGGAACTTGCGAATGAGCCATTTGCGGAGCTCTCCAATGGCGAGGATGGTGAGGGCAAAGGGCACGCCGATGAACCAGTAGAGCACATTGAGGGGCCGCGTGTCAAACACCTCCTGCAGGAACGGCCAGTACAGCAGCGCTGCTGCCACCAGCGTCTCAAAGAACAGCGAGAAGGTCAGCACGTGGTTGCGCATGCCCTGGAGAGAGTCAGGCGTTGCAGAGAGTCAGGCGTCGGCAGAGGGCATACGTAGAAAGAGAACGGAAAGATCCATGGCTCTGGTGAAACACGCCGAGGAGCACCGCACCTGCATTGGCAGCACCGACCTGCTGGAAGAGCGAGAGGCGGCGGGTCTTGCACACGAGCAGGTTGGCCCACTGGGTGACGATGACAGCGACAAAGTAGGCGGACTGGGCATAGCGCAACACCTCCACCTGGTACTGCGTGTTGGGCTGCAATTGCTTTCGCCCCGCCCACCAGTACCACCCGTTGTACGGCCCCAGCGGCTTTCCCAGCTGCTGCCGCCCTGGGAACCCCACCTGAGAATGGGGGGGAGATGGGGAGTGGGACAAGATGGTTGGGTTGGGAGAGAACTCGAGGGGAGCACGGGTCACGAGGAGGGGAGGGATGAGTGTAGGGAAAAATAGGAGAGGGAATTGGAGAAACGCGGGCAAGCATGTGGAGGCTTGGGCAGAGTGACAGGGAAGCAGGAACATAGCAACGCACACGGAAGCAGCAAAGTAGCGACGCAGCAACCGCAGTTCCACGCGCAGAGACTGAGTCTGCGCTGCGGCGCATGAGAAGCACTCACATTGGAGGAGAGCGACGGGCTGGAGCACTGCGACGGCAGCACACCCCCCGGAAAGGCAGAAGCCGATGTGTTGCAGGTGAGCGCGCAGAAGTGCTGCCCCTTGAACCCCGCCGCGCCCATCTCACTGAACGGATCCACCACCACTGGCGTCACGTTGCTGTTGGGCATGGGGCAGCCCTGGTAGCAGTAGGGCTGTGCCGCGGGCGGCGAGGACGTGTCGGGCATGGCGAGGGAGTAGTTGGCGGGCCGCAGCCGTACCCGCAGTCGTAGGGCTCGTTGTCCCGGTCGAACGTGCAGATGATGGGGTTGCGCGCGAAGTCAAACCCGATTCGCTGCAGCATCTGTGGTGAGGAGGGTGGGTAAGGAGAAGTGGTCGGGGGGAGAAGGGGCGGGGAGATGACAGAAGTTGAGGCGGGGAGGGAGGTTGGTGAGAGAAAGATTCGTGACTGGTGGAGCAGCTAAAACACGTCTGTTACAATGTGGGATTGTCACCAGTGAGCAGTGAGCAGTCACGCGGAGATCATGCTGGTGAATCAGCATCCTGACAGGCAGGCAGGCAGGCAGCGAGCATGGGTACATTGGGCGGAAGCCATAGTCGTTGAAGACAGCGAGGTAGGCGAGGAAGCCAGCGAGCGTCTGCACGGCGCCGATGAGCAGATACGCATGGCTGATCAGCCGCCAGCTCACCAGGCGGTCCCGCCTGGGGTTCCTTGGCGGCCGGTCCATGATGTCCGACTCCTGGATGAAAGGGGGGAGCGGGGGACCGGGGGGAAGAGAGGGAGAGAGGGGCCACGGGGGTTTTGAGACATCCGAAGCCGTCAACTCCTCATCAGTCTCTCATAAGACATCCACACCCCGTCAGTCTCTTTCCCTCTCTCGCGTTCCATCCCCTCTTGTCCCCTCCTGTCCTCCTGTCCTCCCGTCCTCCCGTCCCCCGTTTGTCACCTTCTCCTCGTAAGCCAGGGAGATAGCAGGCAGCATGTCGGTGCCGAGGCAGATGGCGAGCATGAGCACGGTGGAGAGTGCGAGGGGCACGCCGAGCAGCACGTTGTCGAGGTAGGGGATGAGCTGCGGCACGTTGACGGTGAGCGCGTAGCAGATGGTCTTCTTCAGGTTGTCAAAGATGAGCCGCCCTCCTCCACGCCGCTCACTATGGACGCAAAGCTGTCGTCCATCAGGATCATGTCCGCTGCTTCCTTGGACACGTCCTTGCTGGGGCGGGGGGTGCAGTGAGGGGAGGGAGGGAGGGGGTGAGAGGGAATAGGGCAGAGGAGGAAAGAGGTAAAGCTGTCGTCACGAGGATCATGTCCGCCGCTTCCTTGGACACGTCCTTGCTGGATGGGGGAGATGAACGGTGGGGGAGTTGGGGAAGATGAGTGGAGGAGCGTTAGTGGTTGGGCCAAGGAGGGAGTCAAGTCAAGTGCATTGATCCCGCCACACACGGATAGCCATCCGGCAAATTACACACACACAGGGAATGGGCAGTGAGAGGGACATTTGTCCTCACCCGGCAATGCCCATGGCAATACCAATGTCGGCCTTCTTGAGTGCGGGTGCGCGTTGACCCCGTCCCCCGTGACTGCCACTATCTCCCCCCGCCGTTGGCAGTGCTCCACCAGCAGCAGCTTGTGCGATGGGGACACCCGCGCAAAGATTACCTGGTGCGGGGGGGGGGGAGGGCGGGAAAAGGGGGGGAAGGAGAGGGAAAAGGGGGGGAAAGGGGGGAAGAAGGGGAGAAAAGGGGGAAAGCGGGGGGAAGGAGGGGGAATTGGGAGAGCAGTGCGGAGTGGGGTCAGGGAGGAGAGCAAGGAAGGTGGAGAAGAGCGTGAAAAGACATGCTGGTTGCAGTGCTTGGGAGCAGGATAGGAGGAGCGGCGATGAGAGTGAGCTTGCAGGTAGCGCAGTGAATGCGTTAAGGAAATGAAAGGCGTGGCGGAAGAGAAGGGGGAAAGAGAACATCCCCCTGGGGTTGAGAATCACACCTGGTCGTGCGAGAGGGCCTCGTCCCATTTGAGAATCTCCTCCCTGGGGGTGAGTGCACTCCACGCCCTGATGTCATCACCCGTCCCACCGCCGCACTGCCCGCCTCCACCTTGCTGCTCTCCAATATGCCCACCTGCCCGTGCGCGACGGGGCAGACAGGGTGGCCGTTCGAGACAGTGAAAGGGCGGGAGTGAGGGAGAGAGTGAGAGAGGATGAGGTGAAGTGGTGATGGAGCAGGAGGAGGGGCTGGTCTCCCGTGACCATGATTACCTTCACCTTCACCTCTTCCCCATGCCTGACAACCCCCCAGGCCTCACGTTTACAAATTTCCCGTCCCTCTCCCCCCTCTTCCCCCTTCCCTCCCGTCCCCTTCCCCATCCGCCTGTGTTTCCTCGCATGTACCGTGGTGGCGATGGCGGTGGCGGTGATGGGGTGGTCGCCCGTGACCATGATGACCTTCACAGCGGCGCGCCGGCACTGTGCCACGGCCTCGGGCACGCCCGGGCGCGGCGGGTCCATGAGGCTCCACCATGCCCACGAACGCCAGCCCGCCCGTGGGGAAGTTGGCTGCGGGCTTGTGCGTGAACTGCCACGAGAGGAGACGGGGGGGGGGGTGAGACGAGAAGGGGAAGGGGAAGAAGGGAAGGGAGGAAGAGGGAAGGCGGGGAGAAAGGGGGGAGGGATGGACAGGAGGGGGTTGGGGGTGAAACGAGCGTGTGGAGCAGAGCTAGGCAGCGCATGAGCAGCAGAGCAGAGCAAGAGAGCACTGAGAAACAAAGCACCGCACAGCAGCAGCCTGCACCCACCGCAGCAGCAGCAGCCACAGCAGCAGCACACGAATCTCACCAGCAAACTCGTTGGTGAACCCGTCAAGGTCCCGGAACGCCATGCCGAGCAGCGCTCCCCAAAGCCGCCCATCCCTGGTACGCCTCCTGGAAGTGCTTGCGGCTGTCACTGGTGAGGTCGTACACCTGCCCGTTCACCAGGATGTATGCGCACCGCTCCAGCACCGTCTCTGGTGCGCCCCTTCATCACCAGCACCGGCGGTAACCGGTTCTGCGCTGACTGGCTGTGGCGTTGAATGGTGAAGGGAGGGGAGGGGAGGAGAGGGGAGGGTATAAAGAATGGGGGCAGGAGTGGTAGGGGGTTTATAGTCAACTCAAACAGGGCACCGCTCCAACACCGTCTCTGCCGTCCCACCTCTTTCCCCGCCTACGGCTTTCCCGCTCTCGTCCCCAACCTCCTCTCCCCCCTCCCCCCCACCTTCCCCATCCCCATCCCCCCTCCCCCTCCAGCGGCCGATACACGTGGATGGAGAGCTGCCACTTGGTGGCGGAGGAGAACTTGATCTCAAACAGCTTGGCGTACAGGTCCCTCAGCTCCTTGGCGGGCCGCAGCGGCTCCACGAACTTGAGCAGCCCTGCTCTGATGCGTCCCTGCACACGGCGCCGCGTGCAGGTCAAACTCGCGCCGCCGGCATCTCTATGCCCATCACCAGCCCCTCTGTGGGTGGGGTGGAGTGCGGAGCGGGGGATGGGGAGAGGGAGTGGGGTTGGGAGTTGAGTGGAAGGGAGGGTGGGAGTGCAGGAGGGAGAAGGTGCATGCGTGGATGAAATGGCACACACAAGCACAAGCACAAGCACAAGCACAAGCACAAGCACAAGCACAAGCACAAGCACAAGCACAAGCACACACAATCACAAGCACACACAAGCACAAGCACACACAAGCACAAGCACAAGCACACACAAGCACAAGCACACACAAGCACAAGCACAAGCACACACAAGCACAAGCACACACACTTCCCCGCACAGTTGCTGCAGAACAACAACATCGCAGTGCCGTACTGAGGCGTGTGAGAAGGGAAAGCGAGTCATGAGAAAGCAGACCTGTGAGGAAGACGGCGTTGCTGCAGAGCGAGATGATGAGCTGCAGCTTCTGGAATGTGGGTGACTGCGGCTCATACGCTGTCGCTGCTGCTGGCCCTCGCATCACCTCCTCCCACTCACCCGGTTTCGCACCACCGGACAATCAAACACCCGCAGGTCGTACCAGCAGTGCTCTGCAGTAAGGCGAGGCGGGAGGGGGGAAAGGGAGAGGAAGGGAGTAAAATATACCAGAGGGGACGAGGGAAGGAGGGTGAAGGGCTCAGGACGGAAGGATAGGAGGGGCAGGAGGAGGAGTGGGAAGATCACAGCAGAACCAGTTGAAACTTCCTCATTTACAAACGTGTACATATGCAGTTCATAGGCACGTGCCAGTGCATGGTGGGGGAGGGGTGGAAAACGGGGTGAGGTAGCAAAGGAGGGTAACGAAAAGGGCAGAGGAAGGGAGAGAGAGGATAGAGAGGGAGGAATTGCAGAAAGAGGAAGGAGGGAAGCAGGATGAGGGGCGAAGGAGGAGTGAGGGAGGAAGGGGCACGCACGGACGGTCATGCGGTTCTGGGTGAGGGTGGCGGTCTTATCAGAGGCAATGACGGTGCAGGAGCCAAGGGTCTCCACGGCCTGCAGGTTCTTCACCAGCACACTGCGCACATGCATGCGCTTCGCTGCTAGCGCCAGGGACACTGTGGCACACGCATGGAGCAGCACGCACGGCAGAGGGAACACGACACGGGTGGGATGCCATTCAGTGCGTTATTCATGCATGATGCACTGGCGGTGCGTACACGCATTGATGCCATGTGAGGCGTGTCATGACATCACGACCTCAGCATGCACATGGCCACCCGCCGCATGCCACCCCTCCCACTCGCACTGCCACTCCATCTCTCCCTCCCTCCCCCAATCCCTCCCCCCCACGCTCCTTCCCCTCATCGCTCCCTCCTCCTTCCCCCGCACCGTGACAGCAGCCATGAGCCCTTCAGGCACGTTGGCAACAATGACGCCAATGCCGAACACCACGGTGTGCA